TAGAATTTGAAGCAATGCTTGGCGCCATCTATTGTTATATCCTTTTCCAGCATACAAACAATTTCGAATATCGTTTTACAACGATAATTCGAACGAGAGATGTCGCCATTGCTTTTTTAGAAATTTAAATTGTTTATAGTGCTAATCTTTGCACTTAAGATTGAACATTAAAATATGTAGAAAAAGTGCGAAAAGATTGTCGCCGTTGTGGGAATCGAACCCACGTCTTCGGCATTCGCGACCTGACGCTCTAGCCACTGAGCTAAACGGCTGATTGCCACACCGACGAAAATCTTAACGTATTCTTCTACATTGTTTTCTTAGCATTTGAAGCAATGCTTGGCGCTTAATGCTTCAATCTTAAGTGCAAAGATTAGCACTATAAACAATTTAAATTTCTAAAAAAGCAATGGCGACATCTCTCGTTCGAATTATCGTTGTAAAACGATATTCGAAATTGTTTGTATGCTGGAAAGGATATAACAATAGATGGCGCCAAGCATTGCTTCAAGTGCTAAGAAAACAATGTAGAAGAATACGTTAAGATTTTCGTCGGTGTGGCAATCAGCTGTTTAGCTCAGTGGCTAGAGCGTCAGGCCGCGAATGCCGAAGACGTGGGTTCGATTCCCACAACGGCGACAATCTTTTCGCACTTTTTCTACATATTTTAATGTTAAACCTCACGGACCCAAAATACAACCGCTTTGAATTTGTACATGGTCCTTCGTTGCCAAATAGTCAGCCAGTGAGTAGAAGGCAGACATTCGTCTCGCGCGCGAGTGTTGTGAGTGAAGTTTTTTTGGAAAACCGAACTTGCGGACGTTGGATCGACGTCGCAACCGCAAGTTCCAGGAGCCGATCGAGGTTTCGAAGAGCATCATCGGTCAGCTTCAGATTGTGTCTTCGGTGGACGGCGCCTGCCTTTGCAGAAGAGGAAGTCTCTACAGTGTCGTGCTCTGAAGTATTAGAGCTAGCACTGTCATTACTACAAATATTATTATTGAATTTCATTAATTGTAATAGAATTATTACTATCATTGATGTCGTTATTATATATTTGTGTTATTAATGGCTTATGGTAACTGAAATACGAAATATATTGTTTACATTTTAGAATTAGAATTAAAATAAACCCTTTGATTTTGCTGATCACTTTAATATAACATATATATATTTTGCTATGAACACACAAAGGAACTAACGCCATCTAGCGTCAACTATTAAAACCACTAAAGAATAAAGACGACATAAAACCCCCTATTCAACACTAGATGGCGTTAGAGGAACATTTTAAGATAAGAAAAAGATGGCGCGTAACGCAAAAATGTTACACTAAATTTTTTTCCAACCCCGATAAAGAAGTTTCACTTCAAAAAATAATACAAATCTCCGTGTCGTTATGTCATAATAAGCTTGACTTTAAGCTATGTTTATATGAGTAGTTGTTATTTTTACTTTATAAATAACGATTACTCATAATGTAATATGAGATTAATTACACCCATTATTTACTCAACAAATCATGTCATTTTGTTTGGGACACGTTAAAGTTAATTAGTACAGACCTTTTGTGGGGAAAAATTTAATGACCTCACATGACTTCACAGAAGACCGATGAACCAGTAAGCTAGAAAGCGCAGAGCCGACATAAATGTTTAAAAACTAAGATTTATTTACATAGTATTAGTTTGTCCGAAGAATATATTCACGCCGAGTATTAATTACAACTATTTCCTAAATAATTCATTTCACTTCGCAAGCCACTTTTGTTTTCGCAACCGTTACGGCCGGTGGATTTATTAAAAATGATGTAGGTACAACTAACATAATTGTTACATACGGATGCTACGTCTGTTACAAATCGAATTAGGTTGAAACACATTCACCTAAGCGCAAATCAAGGATATCTCGAGGTTTTTCGTTAAAAATTGTTACCTGTTACCAAGTTTATTGAAATGAGCGGTCATATTGAGCCCTGTAGTATTTTCAAGCGGCGCGTGGTGAAAATAGTATTATTTCCTTTGGCTAGGAAGCCATTTAATGTCGCCAGTCATATATTATTATATGTGTAGTTCATTAGTGTTGCCATATTTAGAGCTTATTATTGTTATTGAATTGATACAACGAGTAGAAACTGTACGTTTGATAAGCCTGATAACTACGTGATGTTTCTTTGCATTAGGTGCTATATCTTTATTTCCAGAAGTTTTGGCAAATCCCACGATAAATTACGTTTAAAGTGAAAATGGTAATGGAAATTGGTAATCTGGCTGTAACAGTAAATTGAGATTAACTGAAGTGAAAAAAAGTTAAAAAATTTTCTATTTACACATTGTATAATAAACACCAATGTTAGTGGTGTAACAAAGATACGCATAAAATAATATGATCATTTTATTTTAATATTAATAATTTGAAAACAAGAGTTTAACTTTTATCACATCACTAATAGTACATGATTTTAAGTGCGGCAAATCTCATAAATTATTTTTCCCAAACTAATCATACAATTTAGAAATGCGTATCAACATAATTTTTGATATTAAACTTTGAAATCACGTTATCATAAACTAAATGTAGCTATAGTATGATAATAAATTTTTGGTATATTGTAAACTGATATTTTTTGAAAAAGAGCAACTGTTGAGTTTCGTGCCGGTCTCTTCTCAAGAGAAACCGCTTTCCGAACCGGTGGTACCTTACGAACCTATATGCTTAATCTTTGATGTAAAATTTGACCATTCATAAGAGCACGCAAGCGTCTATTTGAATAAATATATTTTTGATTTTGATTTTGAAAGTGAGTATCAGTTAATTTGACCACATGTCACTCTAAAACTAGGTCCACATAAGAACAAAAGCACTGGTCGGAAGTACCATGACATTAATCTTGTTAATGGCTTTGTTTCGGCGGTCGTGGGTTCGGTCCCCACACGGGACGTCTATTTGTGTGACCCACATGTAATTGTCGGATCTGTGTTTGCCCATGTGAAATTTATTTATTTAAAACGTCCTTACAATACAATATATTGTTATCCTTACCCAGATTTTACTGTATTACGGCAACGTTTAAGACAATTATATTTGTAAAAGAAGAATAAAAAGTAATAAAATTGCCCGCTATTTATTAATTGTTTTCTGTCCGCCAATTTGAGTGAATCCGACGAAGAAATTCATATCAATACATTTTGATGCTTTATTACAAAAAAGGGATAAATGCTGAGAAGAAAGACGAGAACAATTGGGACACATCGTTAACGCATCCACCATACCGCGCTCACCTTACACCTTCATATTTCTGCCGGTTCCAAACAACGGGATTATGCCACTACAAACAAGAAGCCAAAAAGAAATTAAACAAAATGGTACATAAATTTTACATTTAAATGTTATTAAACTTTGAAAAAAAAAATTGTCCTGAATTGGTTTATAAAATAAGAAGAAACTTTTCCCCCGGCCTAGTTTATCACTATCACTTCATAGTATAAAACAAAGTCGTCCCGCTGTCTGTCTGTCCCTATATATGCTTATATCTTTAAAACTTCGCAACGAATTTTGCTGTTTTCTTTAATAGATAGAGTGATTCAAGAGGAAAGTCTATATGTATAAATCATGCGAAATGTAGTAGAGGAACACCGATAATTTTAGAGGTTGCTAATGCGATGTTGAAAACAACATTCAGCATTGCACCCATGCGAAGCCAGGGCGGTTCGCTAGTTTATAACATGCGGGATTTTAGAATAACTGTATTTCTTTTTTCATTAAATTTATGTCAAAATGTTAAAATGCATGAACTTGAGTCTCTTGAATATTAAATTTTCTTTATGTTATTTACATATATTATGCAAATATTCTGATGACATATTCTAATAAATTTAATATTTTTACCTAAACAAGCTGTGCCTTTCGGTCCTAATGGAAATAACTAGAGGTAAACACGTTATAATAAGCTGGTAAAGCTCTAACAACAACTTGTGCGCCTCACCCGTTCTAAAAACTTATTGAGTGCAAGACTTAAGGCCCATTTACACGATGCCATTTTCTTGTACATACAAGAGCAATAATTGAATGCAATAAATTGCGCGCAATCATTGTTTAGACCATTTGTTGTTTAGACCATGCAACTCATTTATTGCTTCAATTTAATTGTATACAACAGGCAAGAAACTGGCACCATGTAAATGGGCCTTTAGACATCCCAACTAAATCCCTAGAGTAGCAATACGTACTGCAAACCAGTAAAACGAAGTAAGAGTCAGTCACTTCGTCCCAATGCAAAAGGTGTCTAATATTAAATGTATGGTAAATGTCGAATAGGCTCTCATGGAACTTGTGCGTTCACAACCTGAGATTAGATTACTGCGTGGTATGGTAATTAAACACTAACCATTTTCGAATACAAAAAATCTAATAGTTTGCATATAAGATGAATCCGACGTATGAAACAACCGTTGGATTGGTGTTATTCTATATTTACGTAGGGATTGGCGTATATTGGATAGTAAAAAATTTTCTGGGTTGAACTTGAGTGTAGGCATGAGTGTTTATATCTACGGTAAGTATTTTTTCATGAAGGAATTTTTTTTTAAGTTTATCACTTACCCATTATCCATAGTCCTGTCTTGAAATATTCATGAATATTCACGCTTAATGAGGTGGCTGAGTGATTAGATCCGTTCTCTTACCATAGAAATGGATTCACGCTAGTGTTACTTTACGTAATTTGTTACGATACATAGTAAGTAATGAGAATTTAATAATGTATTACATTATTAATTATGTTGTTATGTCGTTTTAGATTACTTTATACAAATATTCTGCTACACAAACATTTAAACCCGAAAGTGTATCAGACCAACTAAATGGGTACATCCCCATATACATATGAGGCTAGAGTCCTAACGCAGATTCCGTGAAATTTTATGCCGATGGGCAGGGACCTTCCGATATGCTAATTGTCGCCTTTGATGCGAGAGATTCATAACGCTTATATTATGCTAATGGCGGTAGTTCGAACTACAGAACAGACTATGGTAAGTAGCCATAAATTAATCATGGGACCAATGTGTGCCCCGTGGCCGCCGAGGACACGTTACGAAACATAGACCTAATGTAATATATATACAGGCGCGGAAAACTGTCCGGACATCACTCATCATCCGCCTATCCAAGAAACAAACCGCCTAAAAGCATCATGAAATCCTTTGTAAGTATTCCACACTGGGCAATATCTCAGTATTTTCGTATTTTTAATATTAAATAATGTCAACTCTACAAATGTTCATCGTTTATAACCGGTATAACACTTTTATCAGAAAAACTGGACCCCATTAATTAATAAAATGGAGTAGACGCAAATAAGGTTCTCCGTCAGTGCTGTGAAGACAAGAAAGTTCGGGACAACATTTAGCTCTTGTCGTTTTGGTTTTTGCCTATCCGTTAATTACACAGCTGACTTAATTTAAAATATATCGTCCTTAATCTCAAGTGGGTAAAATATTCTATTTAACTTCATCGCTTTACATTCTTATATTAAGACATCACGAGTTAAACCAAGCCAGACAACAATACGTTAAAGTATTTTTGTTGAACATTATCAGGTAGTAAGAAAAAGAGTTAACCTACAATTAAAGCTTCCAACAGACTATCATCAAACGGATGGAAACAATTAACAGACTATTAGAATATGTACGTTAATTGCTCACTTAAATAAGACAATTAGCATAATTTATTACAAAGGTAGTGTTTCTCAGAAATCATGCTTTCATTTAAGTGATTTCAAAAAAGCACTTAAAAGAAAGTTTATCGGCAAAATAAATTATTTATGATAACATTAGGTAGTTGCAATTTAGTAGATCCAATTGTATGTAATCAATCTGCCAAATACATCCGATTACGATAATTATATAAATTAATTTGTTCCAACATCACATGGTGATATCGGCGAAAGGAAATACATACATCTACTAACGTTTCAACTGTAAAACGATATCATTAATGTATTTGTTCGTACTTTGGTAGGTAGCAGTGTTGTGCTTGGTGGCGTGCGCGGTGGCGGGTGACGTTCGTGAGAAGCGCGGTGTGCTCAGCGGCCTGCACTCCCCTAGCGGCGTGTCCTACGGGTCGGGCTACGCCTCGCCCTCTGTCAGCTACTCAGCTCCCGCCATCAGCTACTCGGCACCCGCTCTCAGTTATTCCGCCCCGTCAGTGAGCTACGCCCCCGCGGTAAGCTACGCATCTGCACCCGGATTGAGCTACGCCGCCGCTCCCGCAGTGAGGTACGCATCTGCCCCCGCCGTGAGCTACGCCTCTGCCCCCGCCGTGAGCTATGCCCCTGCCCCCTCCGTGAGCTACCCGATCGCTCCCGCAGTCAGCTACTCGGCGCCCGCTGCCCGCCTGGTTTCCGTTAACAAGCTGGTCAACGTGAACAAGGTCGTGAGCGTTCCCCAGGTCGTCAACGTTCGCAAGGTCGTGTCCGTGCCCCAACTGGTGACCGTTAACAAGATAGTGTCCGCGCCCAGCCTGGCTGCGGGTTACGGCAACGGATACGGCGCTGTGCCCAGCTACGCCAGCGGCTGGTAAATGGGCTGCAATTGAACCAGTCTAGTCATACGATTGATATGTTTTTTTTTTGTTTTAGTTTTATTTTAAGTTTAATTTTTAAAAGATGCTAAGAAAGACAAAAATATATTTTTTTACTTCATCTATGCCTTTCAATTTCCCTATCCGACTACCTTCTCCAAATTACATTCCAATTATTTGCCCAATTATAATTGTTAATCTACTAGTGCACTTGTCTGAAGGAAACGTAACTTTAAAGTTTTATCACTCTTCGCGATAGTCAAAAGAAACTAACTCACCCAACGCAAATTATTTTATGCCGAAAAAAAAAATTATCCTCCCTCAACTATAGTAATATATCAATTTTGTTCCAGCGGTCATACTGGACTAGTGAGTCCAACAAATTATTTAAGCAGTATTTTTTAATCGAACAATTCCATAGGAATTAGAATTACTGTGGTGGAAAATCCATACTATTAATATTATAAATGCGAAAGTAACTCTGTCTGTCTGTCTCGCTTTCACTCCAAAACTACTGAACCGATTTAACTGAAATTTGGTACACAGATAGTCTAGGGCCTGAGAAAGAACATAGCTTTTTAATTCATAACTTTTTAATTGGAAAAAAAGTGTTGTAAAGGCTTGAAAGATATTTATTTAAGGGCTCTAACGCGAGCAAAGCTGCGGGCAAAAAGCTAGTAGTAAATATAAGGTTCCAAATCTTCCCGTTTGGCATACTTGTCATTGTATAAAAAAACACAAATTAGAAACAGTCTGAATGAATTTGACATACGATATTCAAAAAATTTAAACTCACTGAATCAAGCCTCTGTTTTGAAGACGTGACCTCAAATCAAAAGTCATGCCTAGCTACTAGGCCCCGCTACCTCTAATATCATAATCCATCAGTAATACATTACATAGGTTAATACCTACCTACCATTATTTAAATACCAAAGGCGTGCATTTGTTGTAACCTCTTATATAACCAAGAATGCCTAGTTTTAGGAGCAGTAAATCGATCGCGCGTTTTGTAGGGCCGAGCGTTGCTCAACTCAGATAAATTACCGCCTTGGACTAATAATTACAAGCTGAAATGCGAATAAGTTAGACACTAAGCAATTGCATATTCTGCCATTAAATATGCAGTTGAGGTAACTGGCAAAAAATTAAGTATGATTGTGTTTTGAACTATAAATACCTTTAAATCTGCTGAATCGGTTTAGTGTAAGAAATGTAACTATGAGAATAAAGCGCTTATGGAGATTAAATAAATGTTTTATTGACAACCGAATATAATTTGCCAGCTGAAAAATGAACTGGTGGGTGGCAAAATAAAATTGTGTTACCATTTTCAATGTAAATTTCTTAGACATAAAAGTTTTGTAGATAAAGGAACAAAAAATTTCGATGTAACGGGCATCGAACCTGCGTTTCTATTTATAAAACAAAAACTATAAACAATTACTTCACGTCAACGGTCTGGGAGCGGTACTTCGCCGATCGGCCTAGATCGTGCACTAGGAAATGTTATGTAGACTGATGCTGATCTACCACAGTGGTTCCTATTACCGTATCACCTACTACCGTATCGTTAAATATGCATTGGTAAACGCCTCTACCGCTGGCTTTATCTTTGTATTTGTCTCATCATTATCTTACTGCTTAGTAGAAATAAAAAAGAAAGAAAGAAACCACTTCTTGTTTTCGATTTATTTTTATCAGTATTTCACTTCGATTTTATATTTTTATCTTTGAATGTAACAATGATTCTGTAGTTCTAAAGATAAATATTGATTTAATTGATATACAAGTATTAATACTTATTGACGCTTCATCGTTTTTGTTCCTACTCCTTCCTACTCTTTTTCGTAGATAATGCATATACATTTAATCTCATTTTCCGAGATTGTGCATCAGAGAAATGACGAAAGAGAAACATGGGCACAAGCTCTTCTGTGATTTTTAAATTGTTCAGTATGAATTGATACTGAAAACAAAAGTGACCATCGGGTAACCAATAATGCGCGTTCCGCGCGAGGCAGTTTACTTGCTGGCTGCCTTTTGGCTTACTAAGCCTATTTGAAATCTAGCAGCTAGAACTAGCACGTATTCCAGCGAAAATGCTTTCATTGTGTGAATGGACTTTAAATGGAATTATTAAATTAAAATTACATAAGCCCATTAGTTATCTAATAGGAACATCCTTTCATTCCAGATTTGGGAAAGTTGAAAGTGTTTCCAACGTCCTATACTGCCTATTTCGCTAAATATACATATCGAAGGGTTGTTGTCTATCCTTATGTTTCGTGAGCAGCCCTATCTACACGGTGTTGGAGACAGTCCGCCATAAGGCACCATTTGCTACCTAGCTAGCACATTCCTTCTTTAAATGCAAAATCTCGTCTTCACGCAGAAGTGAGCTCGTGCTCAAGTTACAACAAACTTACTCTCAAACATAACTTTTCTTTATTCACGTTCGGTTCCTCTGATGTTAAGTGATACCCACCGCCCATGGGCACTTACATCACCCGGACCCGATGCGTTACCATATATTCCCCGGCCACTTCACTCACCAGACGAAACGCAGAAGTATCAAACTTCCACTTCACGCCGGTCTTCTGTGAGGCCATGGAACTTACCCGGACGGACCTGCCCAGTCGGGCAACTGTCGAAGCTGTTGCGTGGCCCTACCACAGGTAGTCTTACTAGTTAGTATGAGGCAAGGATTTTTACTAATAACAAATATGAAAAACTGAAATCTCATTCGTATGCACACGAAGAGGATTAGAACCTGCGCGAAGGGAAAAAAATCGTCTAACTTCATAAAACCGTCTAACTTCATAGCCACTTTCTAGCTCGTCAGTGACTTCATAAAATAAGTTATACCATGCAATATACCGTACGTAAGATTTACCATGCGGCTTTCTTAAGGGAACTCCACTATAAATTCCAAACAAAAAGTAGATTTGATATATTACCAAATCTATCTATTTCCCCAAGCATTCATTTGATATTAGCCCCAATAATTCGCAGACTAAAAATAGCATAAAAAATAAGTCATACTTTCAAACGACTTCAAAAAACGAGGAGATACTGAATTTGTTTTTTTGGCCAATTAGTGGCCACATTACATTTGGATAGCGTTCGCAAAATTAACGTGGTACAATTTCTACGTCCTTTTTAGCCGACATTAAAAAGTGAGCTCACTATTCTGTTTTATTTTTGTTACGTTTGTTGAGGATTACATTACAAATATGTTCTTTTAAACAATCTTAATTGTTTTGCGAACATTTTATAAAAAGAACGTGTAAAGTGATTCGAAAAGAAACCCTCAACTTAAAATATATTTATACTTTTTACTGACAATACAGTTTTGAAACAAACTTGAAATTAACAAAAACATACTTTACTTGGGATGAGGCGTCGGAAACATCGGATGGACTAAAAAATTACAACTTCAACTTATAACTATACCAATTGTGAAAAAATAATACGCAAACAAATTATAGCGTAACGCATGATGCATCATTGTATTAAAATTACTAATTAAACGCAATGTGCAAACGCACTTAGTGCAAAAGTACCCGCGCAATTCGATCGCCGGGGACGCGTTGCGAAATATAGTCCAGCGGACTAATATATATAACGGTGCGCAAGTTAGTCTGTACATCATTCACAGCTACATTCACCAGTGAAACTCGCCTCCTCAGCATCATGAAATCCTTCGTAAGTATCTGAAAATATATAACTACATGCAAGATGTGTAAATTTCCACTCATAAAATAAAAGGTGACCAAATTAGATCCTTCCGATCTGAGGAACTATAATGTATCCTCCATGGATAATACATATCCTGATGTCCTGGTATAAATTACCAAATTGAGGATCACACTTACTTAATCAGGTCGTGTTATAGAAGTTTTATAAGCGCACATGCACTGTAGTCACTCTCTGGAGTCGGTCAAGTACACCGAATTTGCCTTTTCTTATTGACCCTTTGGGGTCTAGACTTGCTGTCGGAAATGAAATTTTTATTTTTTTTTTATTCTAAAAAATTTATTCAACACAGGTCGCAGTATTGTGCCTGGTGGCGTGCGTGGCTGCCGAAGAGAATGTACGCGAGAAGCGCGGCTACCTCGGCGGTCATTCGTCCATCGGAGGCTATTCCGGCATCAGCGGTTATTCTGGCATCGGTGGCTATTCCGGCATCGGTGGCTACAGCGGCCACTCCGCGCCCGCCGCCCGCATCGTCTCCGTCAACAAGGTGGTGAACGTGCCGAAGGTTGTCAGCGTGCCCCAGGTGGTGAACGTGAACAGGGTTGTCTCCGTGCCACAAGTGGTCACCGAGAACAGGCTGGTGGCCTCCCCCAGCTACTCGTCTGGTTTGAGCGGCGGCTACAGCGGCGGCTACAGCGGTGGCTACAGCAGCGGAGGCTCCAGCGGCGGATATGGCAGCGGCCACCTCAGCAGCTGGTAATCTGCCCCCACGATACAAGACTAGCCAATCAACCGATGTGATATTGTTAAAAGATTGTTATTTAACCTTAACCGGAAAATAAATATATATATTTTTATGTTCTCTTGTAATTTCCCTCAACTGGCTCGAGCAATTATGAAAATTCATAACTTAACTGTCCAATCATCCAAACATACAATTGAACACTATGTTATATTATCCATTATCCATTATCCATAGGAGAACACTATACTCCTATGGATAATATTGCACTTTTATGGATAACTTATGGATGGTATGAAAAAGTTATATTTATGAAATAATATTTATACTTGTCCTTGGCTTGCTTTTACTAACCCATACTTTCTGGTAAGTCGAATAGTTTTGCACTAAATATTTTAGTTATCACTCAAAAAAGTATAAATTGTTTCAGTGAGCTTATCGAGTTCTTGATTAAGGAATTATTGATAATTCTTGTTCGTTCATTCTTGTGATGGCACTTTTTGAGTTTTGATTAACGTAGAAAAAACATAGAATATACAAAAATGAAGTGAGTCGACTACTCACTTCATTTTTCCAATCGTAATATTTCTAATATAATAAATGTGAAAGTTTTGGTTTGGCCTTCTTTAACAAATTATTATATAGGCCAGATCTTTTCCGTTGTGTGCGGTAATCGTTTAGTTTAATTACAAATAACTTGCAATTTTTAATCACAATTAACTTACAATAATGATTATTAAATTCGAGCGTAGTCGTTAGCACCAAATTGCTAATGCAAACTCTTGCAGAGCGTGAGAGTGGCATATCGTAATTAAACAGATTCAATTCAATAATTAAATACAATATTTCGGCCGATAAAATAAAGAACTATTTCAGAGCAAATAAAGCAAAAGAATATAATTCTAACACGCGTACATTAAGTGCAAGCAAAAACACAACACGATAATACTTTTAATAAAATCCACTACATAATCACAAAATATAACATTCTCGAATATAACCCGAAGAGTAAGTAGAAAGATAGATTTTTACTTTGCACGATCTTATTAATTTACAATTACTTTACCTCTGTAAGAGGAGGCCTTTTCCCTGCAGTAGGGACATATATATATACATACTATACTACTTTACGCAGACTCCTATAAAATTTGCAGACCGGCAGACAGTATTGTGACATTCTTTCCCTTTCTTATCTTGGTTTTGAATGAACGTGATATGAAACGCACAGGTACAGGTATTAAACCCAAATCTTCGTGGTCTTGGATTTGGACTTCTGGTCTTGCTATTTTTTCTCACGGGGTTTGGCTAATTAAATTTATAAAATTTCTGACTTCTTTTTTAAACATTGCCCTTACTTTGGAATAACATTAACCTGTGTTGTAAGGACGTTTGTACAAACATAAATTTCACGCGGACAAACAGCCAGATCCGGAACAACTTTCTGTGGATCACACAAATAGTTGTCCCGTGTTGGAATCGAACCCATGACCCCCGACGCCGAAGCTAATACCTTGGCGACTGCGCCACGGAGTCATCGCATATTTCACTCTATTGATGAGCATATTATGATAAATCAGGACTAAAATTATTTCACTTTATTTCACTAAATAATTGCCACCAGGATGGAAGTTTCTCAAGTATTCTAAATAACAATCGATGGCATATTCACCTACTACTGTAAAGAATACCTCACGCAATAGCCAAGCAAAAGCAAAAATAAAATACCTATTCAATTATATAATGTTAAGTAACATGTTAGGTTTATATTTAATATTATAATTTAGTTACAATTTTAATCGCATGCTAAAGCCATAAATTCAAATTATGTCTAATCGATTTAAAGTACCAAATGTAAATATCGTACTAGTAAATGCACAGAGTTATCTAAAAGCAGATTCGGAAAGTGTCATGCACTCGCCAAAAATTTTAATTGGATCTCTCTGTGGAAATAGTAAAAGAAAAAAATTATAATAATTTCTTGTATTTACGCTATTACACATTAGTATGTTTATGTTTACGGATTTATCCCGTTTATTTTTAGTTTTAATTCCGGTCTGTCTCGTCACCACGAACGCTGTAAAAGGAATTAATTATAATAGGGAAGGAAAAGAAAAAACGAAACATCGGGAATTAATACTAAAAATAGGTAAATCCGTATACATAGTTTCATTTGGAAAACAAATAATTATCATTCTCTTTTAGGGTTCCATGACTCAAAAGGTAAAAAGGAACCCTTATAATATCACTCTCACTGTCCGTCTATCTGTCCGGGTATCACCACCGATTTTCTCAGGAACGGGTGGACCTAGCAAGTTGAAATTCATGAAGTTCTATAGTCCCTATTAGGTGTATAGAAATCAAGGTCCCGAGTCAACACGATAAAAAGATATAGATAAATTTAGATTTTCGCGAAAACTTGTAAAGGACCAAAATTTGCCTCAATTTTGAACTTTTTTTTTTACCCTTTACTTGTGCTATGGGACCTTGCAAGACAAAGGCAAGGAACTCTATAATTGAATTTAATACATAATGCTAAAGATTTTTTATGTGAGAAGGTGGCAAACGTGCTGGTGGTTCACCTGATGTTAAGTGTTAACCGCCGGTATTGGCAACACCCGTAGAGTTGCAAATGCGTTGCCACCTTTTAATGAAGTGGGCCCAGCTCCCTCACTCACCAGACGAAACGCAAAAGTAATAACACTTCCACTTTACGCAGGTCTTCTATGACCTGCTTATTCGTGCAACAGAGAAGACTGTTGCGTGTCCCTACCGCAGTTGGTGCATACAAGATGTAAGTGCAGAGTAAAGACACCTCAAAGAATATTTAATCTCTGTTAAAGCAGACAAAGGCACACTAGACAGAAGTGATAATCAAAAGAACGTTATCTAATTAATTCATGACACCCGTACTCCAATCCGCGACCTTCTTTCACAAGTACATGTCGTGGCCATTGGGTCAATGTTAACTTTGCTCCATGGTAAATACCATACAACAGCAGAAAAGAATGCTTTTGTAATGTACAAACATTACCGATATCCTAAGTTATGTTCTAACCACGTGTCACCAAACTTTTTAAGTTCCAAGTAGTGACGAATTTGAACTCTCGTCTATGCCAGTTATGCAGGTACGTATAACAAGCACAACCGAAATACGTAGATGAGGGAATGACTTTAAATGAAATCTGAAAAAACTTAATAACTTAAACTGACCAGTTGGAGTTCAAACTCGCCACATGTACAACATCATAATAATAATGGAATTGACTAAAACTCTCATCTTTATGCATAAAAATTTAACTTCGGAATGTTCAAACCTCAAAAAGTAGGTGACGGATTGAATTAATGTTTGTTCACGACATACTTATTGAACGGGATAGTGTATTTCTGCATTCTATATTCCGTTCCAACGGAAACAAAAAAAAGCCGGTGGGTTCAGCTAGTTTAACATAAAATGTTTTTCCATTATCCGTTTAATGACACTCTCATTATAGTATTAAATGAGTAAAGTTTATATTACATTTCTACATGTCGTTTGCCAAATATTAATTTCATTCGGTGTTTACTTTGCGAGGACAAGTTGCATAACGCTGTCGAACGATATACGTATATATATCGGAACAGCAGTCTGTCAACATCATTCACCACTTACTTGTAACAGAAAAAGATCGGTGGAAACGCACCATGAGATCCTTCGTGAGTATTGAACACCAAATCCTTTTCTGTAATCGATTTTCATCTACCACGCATTCAACTAAAACAGTATTTAACAGGATTCGTTCATTCATTGAAACAATCACTTATTTTAACATTTTATATTTATTTCATTGATTCGAGGTTTATCTAATGCAAAGATGTTTAGGATTATTTGTCAATTAATAATCTATAAATAATCAATAATCATTTATAGTTTTTAAAAAGTATAAACATCTCTATTAAAAACTTATATTCTTATATATAAACATTAACTCAAAATGCAATTCATTTTAATATTGGAATATGATTAATTCATGTAAATGAATAAGAGGCTACTTCCATCTTTTTCTAAGCAGAGCGCAATGAATTGATGAAACATTTTTTTTTAAATAGATCGCAGTGTTGTGCCTGGTAGCGTGCGTGGCCGGTGAAGAGAAAGTACGCGAGAAGCGCGGCTTCCTGGGCGGCCACTCGGCCATCGGGGGCTATTCTGGCATCGGGGTCTATTCGGGCATCGGGGGATATTCGGGCATCGGGGGCTATTCTGGCATTGGGGGCTATTCTGGCTACTCCGCCCCCGCCGCCCGCGTCGTCTCCGTCAACAAGGTGGTGAACGTACCGAGGGTGGTGAGCGTGCCCCAGGTGGTGAGCGTGAACAGGGTGGTCTCCGTGCCCCAAGTGGTCTCCGTCAATAGGCTGGTGGCCTCCCCCAGCTACTCCTCCGGATACAGCAGCGGTTACAGCGGTGGTTACAGCGGTGGCTACAGCGGTGGATACAGCGGATACGGTGGATACGGCGGATACGGTGGATACAGGGGCCATGCCAACAGTGGCTGGTGGTAAACGGTCACCTTGATTAAAGACTAGTCAGTTATTGGATGTATTTTGTTAAACATTTTTGTTATCTATGATTTTAATTTTGAAATAAAGACTAATATTTTATTTAATTCTTGTGTTTAATTAGACTGTGTAGAATATGTAAATCGTATATGGGACGATGTATTCGTATATATAACAAAATCTACGAAAGCGATCAAAATGAATGAGTTGCTCAGTTAAAAATATATGTAAAGGGTACTCTTGTGTGATAAAGCTTACTTAAGCTTATTTAATGTTAGTGATTATTTAAATTATAACACACTCTGGAAATGAAGTGATCGCTCCAGGTTCATTCAAATGGACTTTAATATGTTGGAAACATGTTTTTTAAGCCGCTCTTTATTTTCATTGCTGCTACATCTTTCGGCTGGTATTCTTTTAACCGTAAAAGTATCACACTCTGTTTATTTTTCAAACCATTTGAGAGCTGTTTCCAGGGCCTGAAGTGCATCATCAAGATGGTCCTGTATCATTTTCCATATCGACATTTCTTTTATTTAATCGTCTTGCATTTCATAAAAACGTGTAAGGTTATTGGATCTAATAATCCATATGAGTGCCGTAAGATCCAGTTTCCAATGTAATAATATAATAAGTACAACACAAATCACTTCACCTTTATTTAGACACATAAATGTATAAATATATAAACATATTAAATACATATAATACAAAACTAAGAATCTTGGCAAACCTTTGTTGCAAATTCAATTATATATTAATATTAAGCAATATAAATTTAAATTTTTATACCTTGAAAATATTTGCGTGGGACTGCCAAACAATAACAAATTATATTAAAAGTTTATGTATCTTAACGGTTTATTACGTGTCATGTCATGTTATGTTGTAAATCCTATAGTTAAAAATTTTTAAAAAGTTAATGTAAAGCCCTCCTCTGTACAGCGATTAAAAACATATTTAAAATATTTTTTTCTCATAGTTGACATAGTCTCATTGAGGAAGGAAAAATTTCTTTTCACAGATAATCCACACATATGTCTACGTCACCCATTTATACATTTATTGCAAGTCTGACCTTATAAGTGGGTGACTATGTGCTTGGGTGACTGTGTTCTCCAGGAATGGAAGAGATGTCAAGGGTGAATAATTTAGTGAATGCAGGAAATGAGATAAATGGTGCTCTTAAATCACATTTCTTTTTGCCAGTTGCGCCCACATTGTTATAAAATGAGTTTTCTTTTTTTTTTTTAAAAGTTAGTGCACGGATATGACTCTGAATGAAATTATGTATAAGAAAAATTGTATTTTAAGGTAAGGCGAAAAAATGCATTGGTACACGAAAATGTAAGAATGGATGAGATAAGCCAGCCAGAAAAGTTAGAGGACGCGACGTATTTAGGTCTTCTCTAATAATATTATCATCATTTCAACCTATTTTAGTCCACTGGTGATCATACTGAACCACGCCATGAAGCAGACTATGAGCCACCTGCGTCTATCGATTTCCCACACATTTATACAGACAGGTCTTTAACCCATCTTTTCTAGTGGGAGGCCGTCCTACGCTGCGATGCCCAGTACGAGGCTGCGACTCAAGGACCTTTCTTCCGCATCGGTTAACGGTTCACTGCCGGCTCATTGTCACTTACGCTTACTAATATTCTAAGAGAAGTCGGTTATCTTTGCTCTACTTTGGGTATCTTCATTACAAACTCTACCACGCAGATAAATACCAAATATCTGGACCGTAGGTCATCTCACACATTGATTGAGGACTTTAGTCTTGACTAGAGTTTAGAAAAAATTACAAATATTGAAAATTATGGGACAATATACCGAAATTTCTCCAACTCTGCATATACCTTACTTCTCTGATATACCTACCTTATACTACTTAGCTTATCTAGTGTTAAACTTTGCTAAGTTAAAAATCATTCATACTACTTCAATGTCTCTAATCTAGCACTAAGCATTCAAACTGCTTCCTAAGAATGTAGAGAGTCTGAGAGCATAAGATACGTTCTTTCATTGAATCGTTCCACAGATGGAACAAGTACATCATTATTAACACAAAACAAAATACTTTAAATATCTCACTCACTATACATATTATCTATTTGATATTGAGGAGTTCCTGACTTGACTGAGATATTGATATAAGTCCGGATTCCAAAGTCCAATACCAATGAAATAAACATAGGACTACACGGGAGCTAAGCCGAAACCAACACAAGAATTATTTTGGAAATCGTAAATGATGAGAGTTATGAGGTAACAAACACAAAACATACAATCGAATTGAAAACCTCCCCCTTTTTTAAGTCGGTTTTAACGAAGTTAAACCCACTTATAAATCACTTCGTATTACTCTTTATTGATTTCGTAGCAGTTAGATGATATTTATCTGCATCCACTGAAAATCGTGGTAGTTCCCCGCTCTCCGATAAGTTACGTTAAAAATACCAAATTCACCACACCCTTTGCATTTGCCCTTTGCCACTTGCGTTCTTACTTAAGGTCTATTTTTTATGTTGTTGCATTGTTTTTGCAAACGAGCTGGTGGTTCACCTGATGTTAAGTGATAACCGCCTGCCCATGGACATTTGTAACACCCGTAGGGTTGCAGATGCGTTGCCACCTTTAAATAAAGTGTGCCCCGTCAACCTCACTCACCACGAAACGCAGAAGTGCAACACTTATACTTCGCGCCTATTCGTGCTACTTCATAAATTCCATAATTGTAAGTATGGTTTAATAAAAACGATGATTTGGTGACTTATCGATATTATTAAGACAACGTTTTGAAGTTGTAATCCGACGAAATAGCGACAGAAAGGCGTACACTTCTGGTACCAGCACTGGTATCGAGAAAGTAATTTTTATGATTAGGCTAACTGTACTCCTAAAAGCAAACTGTTACTACATTTAGACAATAGTTAACATTTTTCATTTCGATGATCGTAAAGGAATATTTGCAATATGTTTTATATTGTTAAAATCAAACTTAATAAAATAAGTCCTTTACAAATCCATGTCTGGTGAGAAAGAGAGCGAAAGCTTAACTAACGTAATGATGATTGTAAAAATGCAAAATTTTCGCGGTGTCCATAAAGCAAGGACACGTTACGACACATCTTAAGCAGTAGCGGTATATATATCGGCGTATGACATCGTCCGCTTATCACTGCCAGCCATTCACCGTTTAAACAAAACGTCTCAAAACATCATGAAATCTTTCGTAAGTGCTCACTTGCTCCTCATCAACGTTATACTTACATTACTTACAAGTATTACTCGCAACGGTCCGTTGATCCCTTCCCACCTTTTTTGTATTCTATTTTTTATCGCAGTGCGTTTTAATACATTCTATGTCACTACAATTTCATATACTTATATTATTTTTAGGTGAGTTAATCTCAAATGGAAATAATAATCAAATTATAAATCTATAAATGTTTGTTTCAATACAGATCGCAGTGTTGTGCCTGGTGGCGTGCGTGGCCAGTGAAGAGAATGTACGCGAGAAGCGCGGCTTCCTGGGCGGCCACTCGGCCTTCGGGGGTTATTCGGGCATCGGGGGGTATTCTGGCATTGGGGGCTATTCTGGCTACTCCGCCCCCGCCGCCCGCGTCGTCTCCGTCAACAAGGTGGTGAACGTACCGAGGGTCGTGAGCGTGCCCCAGGTGGTGAGCGTGAACAGGGTGGTCTCCGTGCCCCAAGTGGTCTCCGTCAATAGGCTGGTGGCCTCCCCCAGCTACTCCTCCGGATACAGCAGCGGTTACAGCGGTGGTTACAGCGGTGGCTACAGCGGTGGATACAGCGGATACGGTGGATACGGCGGATACGGCGGATACAGGGGCCATGCCAACAGCGGCTGGTGGTAAACGGTAGCATTCTGCTAGTGAATTGTTTTTTTGCGCTTAATGTCATTGTGTTAATGTATATAGTTAAAATAAATTTTATTTTACTTTAAGTTAGTCTTTCAACTGAAACCTGCCCAAAATTTCATTAAACTGATTGATCAAAATTAATATATTATATCTAGTTTGAACCTAAAATTGCCACTAAGGTATTTATTAATTGCTAGTTATATAATAAATTGAATTTAATTATGTAACATGACGTACCTTCACTCTGCTATGAGAAAAATGACACAGTAAGGAGAAATGCGAAATTAAATAAAAAACAATTTCAGGTTATTTTAATCTTAATTTGTTCGTCCAATTTACATTTCACAGACCGTAGAATTTTTTAAAATACGAGTCACGTAATTGGATCATATTTAAAAAACTAAAAATTTCGAACGCAGCATTGATATAATTAGTTTTAATTACGAGTTGTCTGTCAATAACTATCATAGTCATCTTCAAATTCAATAACTAACGTAGTATTTAATTGAGGATTAGCGCAAATTGAAAAATAGCATATTACATTTTTACGGTGGTAGGGCCACGCAGCAGCCTCGGCTGTTGCACGAATGGGCAGTCCCGTCCAGGTAAGTATCACGACCTCACAGAAGACCGGCGTAAAGTAGAAGTATGACAAATACTTTCGCGTTTCGTCTTGTGAGTGAGGTAGCCGGAGCCCAATTTTCAAAAGGTTGTCAACGCATCTGTAACCCTCGGGTGTGGCAGATGCCCATGGGCGGCGGTATTCACTTAACATCAGGTCAACCGTATGCTCCTTTGACAACTTTTCGCATAAAAAAGAAACGTGACATAAGTGTTTCCACAAAAGTAAAGAAAATGCTTCACTGCAAATTTAAATCCTTTTTTGTATTTTACAAGCAAATGATAAATCTATCACCATCAGAATTAGCTATTTACGTCATATTAATCTCGCCTCAGTGCTGAGGGTCATGACTCGTTTTAAATCACCTATTATTTGGTTGTAGTTATCATTAGTCTGTCTAGTGCCAGTTGATGCCGTGATAGCTCATCGTCTGAGCGCTCGCTTTAAAATCCATATACTCGAGCATCATACGTTCGATCCTCGGGGCCGGCACCATTGAAATTATTTTATTTTAAGTGCTGAATTATCACGTGCTCTACGGTGACGGAAAACATCGCGAGGAAACCTGTATATTTTGTAGATATGTAAAGTCCGCCAACCCGCAGTTGAGCCGCGTGGTGAACTATGCCCTCTGTACAGATGAGGCTTTTGCGGACATTTATGGCTGGTAATTTTACTTTACTTTACTTAGTGCTAGTTACAATTAGATTAACTTCTTATTTCTGTGGTCTTTACTGCGCCACGCACACGAGGGCTGGTTAATTTTTCTCTCAAATTAATATTCAGCGAGGAATTGCAAATAGCGTTCTTGGCGGTGGGTTAGGTTTATTAAATAACGTTGGATGAGTCGCGTTCGCTTTGAAAAATATAGCGTAACAAAAAAAATGGAATCCATAATAACAAACAATATTAATTAAAATAAAGAAAATGAAATCCATAGGGACCATGGTGATTTACAATTTAGTGAGCGAATAGAAGGCTCCGATACCTTAGTCCTATTGTATAAGCACAGGAGCTCAGGTGTTACGCCTAAAGTATTACGTTTTTCAATGACTCAAGTCACTAGTTAGTTCATCAGTATCAGTTTGTGAATGTTTTCGTTACTATAATCAAATGCAAATTTAGTTTATATCTCACGGTATCTCGGACCGGTTGAAAACGACGCTAACTATGTTTATTTACGAATATTTTGATATTTTATTGCTTATTTCATGTTTAATGTTTAGATGTATTTTAAAGTTTATATATTTATTGATTTTTTAAGTTTATATTGTTTAAATCCTTGTAATGAACGTTATTGGAGATTAGAACATGCATTTAGAATAATTCATTTCAGTAAAATAACTTTTTTGTTATTGTTTTCATAAAACTGAACTTCTTGTTTCTTATTAAATGAAACTATTCTACGACAGTTATCTCGTTTTATTTTGATTTATAATGCCCAACGTTTCGAACTCATTCCAGCGTTCATGGTCAAGGGACAGACTGAGTTGTTAAACGTCTTGATGTCAAAGTTAACCCGGTGTTTTCTTGTCAACTTATGAACACTGTATTTTTAGTAAACTTAATTTTTAACCATTAAATCATATATTCTACAAAATATTTCATAATATTAACAATTTGCTTCAAGTAACTAATCGTACTTAAACAACCTTCTCATAATATAATGTGAAACACGCCAGATACATTTCATTATTGGCCGGTGTTATTTGAGCTTTGAGCGAGAAAGTAGCCGGCTGTTTCGTCACCAGCGGGGTAGCAATGAGCCTCAGATAGTGTACATTCAAGAACTTGACCGCACAAAGATACAACAGACCTTATTCCTATGCAAAACATGCACAAATTTGTTATGATACATGAGCTGTCGCTATTAGGAAATCATTCATGCATTTTCATCGAACTTTGAAGATTTTTTTCCGGTCTGTGGCCTGCTTGGATAGTGTAATTAAAAAAAAATAAGAATTTAAAAAAGCCACATCGTCATGTAGGAAAGTAAAATGAACAAAATTTTTGCAAATCTGTTAATACTGGAAAAGAATCTCAAAGAATTTTTCAATGCCGGTAGAATTGAAAACAATTGTTTCCTTCCATACCAGCCGTCAAAGGGCGACCACTTCTTTCTTTGGATAATCTCAACATTCCGAAATTTACTTGTAAGACTACACTAGCGCGTTATTAAAAAAAACCCGCTCAAAGCATTCTGCGTGGCCCGATACATACTCGTAGTCTACACTAAAAGGCTATTTGATTTTGGAGATCTAAAAAAAGTACCGCTAACTTGAGACGCTACCAGTAGGGTAAATTCACAAACGTACTAAACCATTTTCTGTAAATATATTACAGACTTTAAAACCAAACTTTTCACTACACACTACTGAAATGGTTTTGGTGGTCACCGTATTGACTTTCATACAGCGTTGTGACGTGGTTTCGATGCCTACATGGAAAAAAAAATATTATCGATAAATTGTACGAGTTTATGGAATCTACCGTAATAAAGAGATTAAGTATATATCCAAATGAAAGTAATTTTGTTTTAAAGAATAAAACAAAAGTGTAATCATGAGGGTATAGGACAATATGACACTTTAGAGGCATAATATAACAGTTTTGACATAATACATTAACATAATAAAATAATTTAGTTACAATGTTTTGCATCCTAATCTTCATTACTAATTATTTTAACTCATATTTTATAATTTATGTTTCTTACTCCTTGTATAAATAGATAAATCAATCAAATAACTTTTTTATGTTACTGGAGAAGAAGTGATTACCACCACACATGAGCACTCAAAACAAAGTAAGAAATGGGTAACGTCAAGAAAAAAAAAACTTTTAAGTTAAACGGTTTTATTTTGTTTTTTTTTTTTTTTTTTTTTTTTTTTTTTTTGTTAATATTGTATTGTCATCTAAATTAAATGTGTGTACCAAATTTCAGATCAATCTGACAACGGCAAGGTGCTTAAATTTCAATTTCTAATTTTGACCCAAATAAATAAACAAACAAATTCCGTACGGGTCGAGCTAAATAAAACCGTTTAATAAGACTAGAACTTTTTGTCAGATTTTTAATACGTATCTTCGGATTACTATATTTACATGAACATTTATGTAACCGCATAGATCGCCAGCCCTAGCTAGGTCCATTCGTACAGCTACGCGTAAACTTATGCAGTCGAGCTTAAAATAAATTGAGCAAAGGGCAATTATTACTAAAAGATTGAAGCGTTTATCTACTGACTAAATTTCTTAGACAAGATAACAAAATAGCGGACAATGTCTTAATCATCGTTAAATTTAATATTAAACAGGATTATCTTTATTCTGTTCGCCAAAAGATTAAAAGATACGAGAAGATAGAATATATAGAATAGAGAAGATTTTATTACGTGTAATTACAATAACTATTTTATGTAACTAAATAACATTACTTTTCTATTTTCCTTTTTTAATTTTGACCGAACAAACCGATATTTAGAATTAGACCTAACTACAACAAAAGGTTATCTACAATAAAATCTTAGAAACAATTTAAATTTCAAGAGATACAGGTAAAAATATTGAATATTGTAAAGTAAACACACAATTATACGGACATTTATATTTCAAAAGCATATATATCCAAAATTACTGCGCATTCAGTGCAAAATTTTTCTCAGCATGCATTCAACAAGGACGCATTGCGAAATATCGTTCAGCGTTAACGCGTATAAATACTGCGCTTAACACCGTCCCTACTCACAAGTCAACTGGGAATCCAACCGACTCGCATCATCATGAAATCTTTCGTAAGTATCAAATATGAAAAGTCGAAAGTTATTTAAATTATTTAAAAAAAAGGGAAACTTAAAAAAGAAATATTTAAGAAGGAATTGCAAAAGCTCTCACAAATTTACTAAATTCAATCCATTCCAATTAGATTACAAATGCTGTGAAAATTTGAACTGTTAGGATCCTATAAATTTTTTTTCCTATTATTTACCCCAAAACAGATCGCGGTGTTGTGCCTGGTGGCGTGCGTGGCCGGTGAAGAGAATGTACGCGAGAAGCGCGGCTTCCTGGGCGGCCACTCGGCCATCGGGGGCTATTCGGGCATCGGGGGCTATTCTGGCATCGGGGGCTATTCCGGCTACTCCGCCCCCGCCGCCCGCGTCGTCTCCGTCAACAAGGTGGTGAACGTACCGAGGGTGGTGAGCGTGCCCCAGGTGGTGAGCGTGAACAGGGTGGTCTCCGTGCCCCAAGTGGTCTCCGTCAATAGGCTGGTGGCCTCCCCCAGCTACTCCTCCGGATACAGCAGCGGTTACAGCGGTGGTTACAGCGGTGGCTACAGCGGTGGATACAGCGGATACGGTGGATACGGTGG